ACATTTTTTTTCATTTGTACAGGCTATGACTCACAAAATCTTCTCAATTTCATGAATCGAAATTCGAGCATCGTCTAGGTCATATCTTCCCTAAAATGTAAGAGGTTTATTCTTCTGAAATTTTTCTAGCCAACAAAATTCATCAGCTCCAACATTATGAGCACCTTGAAATGCCTGCGTTGCTCGAGCCACCATATTAGCCGTTGCCGCTAATGTGTCAGCTATCCTACGATCGTTTCTTCTAGTAGCCATTTCTTCCTATATCAAGTAGTGCTTAAGAAAAACAATACTGAAAATGTTATCACACATGTAGTACACAAGGGCATAACAAACTCATAACACATAAGGCTTAATGGATAAACTTGCTATAATACCAACTATGTGATACCCTAAACCCCAAAAAAAATTCTTTTTATTTTAATACTAATATAAATTGGGAATTAATTTATATAATAAATAGTAAATAAAACACATGGTATCACACATTACTCATAACTTATAACATAATTAGAAAACTCCCATACTTGGGTAACATGTTCACGATTCACGATAAGACATTCAAAAACAAAAATAGTATTATTTTAGATTGCACTCTCATCCTTGACGTCATTGTATCATAACTTTATTCAGATTCAATCCCTAGATGACTAATACATGTCAGCAACATGACACAAAGAAGAATAAGATGGCCTTCTACACCATTTTCACTAGATCGCCTCATAAAGCAACTACTCCTCAGTCTCATTCTAAGGGTATCTTGTACAGAGGTACACCATAAAATCATGAAAGCAAAGGGGAGAGAGTACATCTTATAAAGGTAAATGGTATAAAGACAATAAGGTAGTACAAAATAAACATTCAAAATCATCATCACAACTTAACGATTACTACACTAATTTATCGAGTCATACATCAATGCACGTGAATGCTATGCAATGCATGCAAACCACTACTCCGTATGCACGTGGTACCAAACACTGAGCTCGTAGTTTATTCGTGGAAGTACATGTGGGCTACGCTTTGTACCATAACACTCTCTCTAGGAGTCTGTAGACCTGAAATTCCTAGGAGTGCATGCGGGCTACATTTGTACCATGAAACTCTCTTGAGTTCCACATTTTAGAAGTACATGTGAGCAACATCTGTACTACGACATTATCTTAGATGTCTGTAGAATTGTAATTCCTAGGAGAGTATGTGAGCTACATCCATACTACAACACTCTCCTAAACTCAAACCTACTCCCACACTAGCATGATGCATGAACAAACTATAAACAATAATGTTAGAACAAGATTTGTTCATGACAAGTATTCCTTAAGGTTTTGATGATAAAAAAAAAGTATTAAAAGAATAATGGTGTTATCTAATGTGTATTCTAAGTATGCAGGTTCCAAAGCTTAAGAAGAATCTATTCAAAATCTGATAAAAGGACGCATTTGAGAGAAATTGAGTTATTGGCTTCTGGTAGTTCAGAACTGAAGAACGTACTCTAAGTGAAGTTTGATAATACAGGTTGGCGTAGACTCTGAAGCTGAAGGTATCAGCATCATAAGAGCAATATATTATCTTTATACTTATTGAATGTATCAGCTTTTGGTGATCATTCAGAGCCAGTGACAAAGCTAAGTTATCTGTACTGCAGAAAGCAAGCTACAATGTCAAATCAGTTTGTTAGCTAGAGTTTGTGCTCACATGGCTCAAGAAGAGTTGATATGCTTTACAAATATCCACTATCAAGAAATCTATAGTACAATATCACAGGGAAGACGCTATGGTTAAAAGAGTTACACAATGGAAAAATATCCTTTGGTGTATCTAATTTCAACGTCTCTTGTACTATGGAATAACAAAGGCACTTGTACAAGTTATCTCTTCCAACGACTATCATTTTGAAACTGCTATATAAGTAGTTGAAGATTCAATCTGGAACTAACAATAAGGAAAATAAAGAAAGAGAGCCAAGAAGAAAGAAGCATTTCACACTTCTATCAGAATGGAAAAATAACAAGATCAATAATAGAAACACAATCGAGTATACATAACTTATGTTATTTGTTGTAAATTCTGCAAAGTCTTAATATTTCTTAAACATTGAATATCTTAGAAATCTTAAGAGCTATGATCTTTGATATGGTTATTACGTTGCACCTCTTATTGTATCAAGTACACCTTATTGTCTATTATTCTAAATAGGTTTTGTTTAGTAGTTTAGAAATAAAGTCTCTTGATATGTGCTTGAGCATCAAAGTCTCTTGTTGTGAGCTTGAACTAAGTAAGTCTATTTCTATGTGGTTGAGCATTAAAGTCTTGATCAGGTGTTGATTAAGCAAGAAAGTCTTAGACTGAAGATTTAAGCTGAAGTCTTGGATTCATGGAATCTATTTAAGGAAGTCTTGTACTTGAGAGTATGAGCCAGAAGTCTTGAACTTGAGGGGTTTAAGGAAGGAAGTCTTGGATTCGTGGAATCTAAGTAGGAAGTCTTGAAATAATGAGATTTAAGCAGGAAGTCTTGAACCTGAGGGGTTTAAGTAGGAAGTCTTGAGTTGAGGGTCTAAGAAGAAAGTCTTGAATCTGTGGGACTTAAGCAGGAAGTCTTGAACCTGAGGGGTTTAAGCAGGAAGTCTCGGGCTGAGGGTCAAAGCTGAAAAGTATTATGCTTGAGGGCATAAGCAATTGTAATAATAATTTTATTATAGTGAAAAATCTCTTGTGCTGCAAGGGGACAAGACTACTCTTAATTTGGGAGGAACCATGATAAGTTTTTGTGTGTTATGTTATTATTGATTTGCTTATATTATTATTTTGCTGCAACTTATAATCAGAATCTGAACTCTATTCAGAAGAAAAGTAAAAATGGATAACACAATTCAACCCCCTTTCTTGTGTATTTTTCTCACCTTCGAATAGTCTTCTAGTACCTCCTTCCTCCTTGAGACGCATTTCTTTACACTACCATATAAGAGCTTTGTAATAACTTCCTCGGAACACATTTCCGTTATTGCCATATAAGGGTTTCATATTGATTCATCTTAATCATTTGTGATTTACCATATTCATACTGATGAAAAAGTATCATTAACCTTTATCACAAGAAAGGCCATTGCGTTAGTTTTCTAACGCAACTGACCACACCTCAAACGGATTTATAAAACTCAAGTTATGCGCGAAACAAAATGACCAACAGTGGACTGAAATTCGACGGCGTGCCTGATACAAAAAACCATACGCCTATTACGACCACATGTAATAGCTATTATGTCCATTAATTGATCCTAGGCCTCGTTTTCGTATTTTCTGTGTTTTCTTCTATTTTCTAAGTTTTCTTTGGGATTTTCGATAGTTTTTGACATTTTCTCTCATTTTCCCTATTTTGACTTGTAACAATGGTTAGGGTAGATAATTCTTATTTCGAAACTCATCATCACTAATTAAACATACTCTAAATTGTCAAATAAAAAAAGTCGCTCATCAATATAGTGCACGAAACGAATAAACTAATTTCAAATACAAAGAAATTTCTAAATTCTAGATTTAACAAGTAAACCAACACATCAACGACAACACAATCATATAAGCAATGCATACACATAATCAATCAACTATTCGCATATCAAATTAACAATATTATTCTCATCCTTTACCATAGGGTTTACAATAAACCTTATACTACAGAGTAACTCCATAAGAAAAAATAAGTACTGAGATTCAAGGTCAATCCAACTACCTTACAACAAGTATACCATTCGTAAAAAAATATTCTTGAGCCTTTTTAGGAAAGTTTGTATTTTGTTCCTATTATTGTGCATGATGCTTTATAGTGAGTTAAAATTAATTGCTTCTATTTTTGCGCTTCAAGAAACCTAGATCTATTAGGTCTGAAGGCTATTTAAATAGAAGACCTAACCCTATTGTGTAGAGAACTGCACGTGAATAATTTGAAAAATAAGGATTAGTCATATTTTAGTTGGTCTTTAGGGTTTAGTGCTTGTTAATTGTATGTCACTCATGTATCTTCTGATGCATTGAGGTTGACTAAAATTCAAGGAAAAACAAGACGACCAACAGTTGACTGAATTTAAGAGAAGTCCTATTGTCCAAGAGAAGAAGATCTTGAATTACTTCATTAGAACAAGGGATTGTGATATGGATTACTTCTACAACACAAAAGTTATGAAAGAATTATACAAGATAGAATATGGGAGTGATATGACAAATAGTCTGACTGTCTGGATTAACAAGAAGGAAACATATGTTTCTTGGTGTACTACTGAAGCTGAGTATGGTGAAATCAGAGGAAATTGCGTTTAATTAGTGTGGATGAAACAGATACTAAAGAAACATGATGACAAGGTTGATGTCCTGACATTATACTGTAAGGGTCTGAATGTTATCAGCTATTTCATCTAGAGTAAGAATTCTGACAGGTACAATCAACTAATCAAGAATCTTGATAAAGGAAAGGTTGTTATTTTGAAGAGTGCAGACACTAAGAATTAGCTGATTGCATTCGAAAAATAAGTCAATTTTTCATTGATTTTACATAAAAATCATCTTTTTAAATTATTATTTTCTTAAAATATATAAATTCTACTATTTTAAAATATGCAATTATGAGTATATAAATTTATTAATACCACAATTAGTTTTTAAAATTTATAAGTTCAAAATAAAGTTTATATATTTTAAACCAAATTTATTTTTAAAATATAAAATTTAAAATAAAAATAATTATAAAAAAATCGATTAAAACTTCAAATAAATACTTTAATAAAAAAAACTATCTATAACAAAGACTTTAATCTAATTAAAAAACAATGAAAAGATTTAAGAAGCTAGTAGAAACAAAAGAATACCAATTTAAAACGTTAATCCCGCTTCCACAACACACACGTCATCCCTTTGTCCTGTTTTCCATTTCTAACCAGCTGCTCATCATATATATATCACCCCTCTCTCTCTCTCTCTCTCTCTCTCTTCAAACTTCTTTGATAATATTAATGGCTGATTCTTCTGATGATTTGCACCAAACTCACCCATCACCTTTGGTTCCTCCTGATCCTCAAGATTTCTCCAATTTATTCAACCAACTCATGGATCCTTCTTCTTCTTCCTCTCTCAATTTCTCTCATCCATTTCCCAACTCTTCCACTACCATCCCTTACCCTCCTAATCCTTTCACTTCTTCTTCATCACCTCAGGTACATGAATAAAACGTTCGCGGTGCAGTTTCTTGTCTGTTTATCTGCTATATACGTACAATCTTATATATATATATATATATATATATATATATATATATATATATATATATATATATATATATATATATATATATATATATATATATATATATATATATATATATATATATATATATATATATATATATATATATATATATATATATATATATATATATATATATATATTATAAAAAATCCAAAAAATTTTAAATTATTGAATAGTAACTCATATATATTGGTGAATTTTCTTTATAATAGTTTTTGTTTCATAGCTTAAGAAAACTCAAAAATAATTTTTTAGTAGATCTTATCTTATGATACTTTTTATTCAAATTCAAAATATCATTTTGGGATTACTTTATGTTACTTTTTTCAAATTTAGTTGATGGGTTTTCTTTTTGAGTTTGAAGAATGATGAGGCTTCAGAGTTACCGTCATCAAAAGCTACCCCACCATCACGTTCTTCATCAAAGAGAAGCAGAGCGGCAGAGTTTCATAATTTATCTGAAAAGGTTTTATTTTTTTTACCCTTCAATTTTCATTTTTCTATAAATTTTATTTATTTATTTTGAATTTTTATTGAATGGATTTTATTTTTCTATGAATTTTTTTATTTTGAATTTTATTGAATGAATAGAGAAGGAGGAGTAAGATTAATGAGAAATTGAAAGCTTTGCAGAATTTAATTCCAAATTCTAATAAGGTATATGTCTATTTTGTAGCATCTATCCCTTTTAGATTTTATCTATTATTTTAATTTATCTTAGAAAATATTATTTATTTTGTTTTTTTTGTGGCTTTTTTGTTTTTTAGACAGACAAAGCTTCAATGCTTGATGAGGCTATAGAATATTTAAAGCAGCTTCAACTTCAAGTGCAAGTGAGTTTTCTTTCTCTTAAGATGAGCTATGAAACTTTAAGCAATAAATTTATATTATTAATGTTGCTCAACCATGATTTGGCATGGAACTATGGATTGATTTAGCCAGCGCAGTTTGAGGACGTGTAATGCAGACTATCGGATGTGCTCTAAAATTTGTGATAGAATTTTTATTTATTTGTCCTGATTAAATTGTGATTAATTTACAGAAGACTTTCGAAAATTTAAGTCGACTTTAGATTTAGCATCAATTCAATTTAGCTTTAGAATGCTTTTTTATTTAATTTTTTTTCTAACACGGGCACAATGATACCCACAATGTTTCGCTTCAAGTTCAAATTCTAATTGTTACTTTAGTGCTTGTGATTAATTCTGCAGATGTTAATGGTAAGAAATGGTTATAGCTTGCATCCGGTGTCTTTATCGGGAGGATCGCGACCTACAACAGCGTTTTCTCAAACCGATTTATTCAATCTTGACGAGGGTAATATTGGATTTCACAATTCTATCAACGCAATCGCATCTTCTGCAAACGATGAATCTTTCGTGCCGCCTAGTTTTAGTTTTCCAGAACAAGGCTGCATCTCGAATCAAACTGTCGCGGCAAATATAGCTAACTTTGATGCCTCATCAAGTTTTCAACCCGCTATTAAGGTTCATGTTGGATACTTTATAATTAAACAATACTTCATTGATTGGTTTATTATTGAAGTTAACAACTCTTATTTGTGCAATATGTAGGATGTTTTCTGCAATAACATGCCGCAGCTGATTTTGGATTCAACAAGGACTGAAAAAACTCTTCCTGATATGTCTTAAACAGCTTCAATTCAACAAAGTGATAGAGAATTTTTTAGACTACATATTATTATGCAACATCATGATCTACACTGACTCGAGCTCAAATTTGATAATCTATTAGGTTATTTATGGTATAATTGATGAAAGTTCGATGAAATTCTTGTGCGGTAGACAACTGCACTAGAATGCAATGTAATATTTTATAACTTCATTGATTAAAAAATGAAGATAATGAACATTCTGCAACATGTTACCTCATGATCGTTGTAGTATAATTGTAAGTATTTCTGATTGTCACGTGGGTGATCTGGGTTTGATCGGCAACAACGGTTTTTCACTTAAAAGTAAAATTATTTGTGTTTTGGGTTAATTTTTGATAGAACTGAATATTTTGTGATAATTTGTCATAATTAATTTTCTATGATTATGCACGACACATTGATGTAAATCTTGTAAACACTGATTCACAATTCTAAGCCATAACTGCCAAAGCTAAAACAATCTATGAGTCAGCTAAAGATCCACATAAGAAAAGATTATGTTTCAGAGGATATGTTTGGGAGCTAACTATTGATGTAGAATTAACATCATATGAAAAGAAAAATATTATTCAATGATCTTAAGACTATACATGATATATTTATATCCAGTCAAAATAATAAACTTTCCTAATTAGTAGCAAAGCTGATAAAAATTAATTATCCTAAAATAAAATTAACTTAGAGAAATAAAAGGAAAATAATAATTATAATATATTCATATGTGAGATACTCCCACAGAATGGACAATGGAGGTTGAGTAGACCAAACTTATAAAAATATGTGTGTCAAAAGCTAGTTTGTAGAGCGGTTTTGTGAGAAAATTAACAATATGAATTCTAGTGTGTATTGGGTGAAGTTTGATAATACCTGCTCCAATCTTTTCACAAGTTACGTGACAATCAATTTTGATGTGTTTTGATCGTTCATGAAAAGAAGGATCATGCGTCAGGTAAATTGTTGAATTCTTATCACAGTAAATAGAGGTTGGTTGATTGAATGACTGATTCGAGTCTTTAAATAAATTGTGTAGCCATTGTATTTCGTAAGTCAAGCTCGCGAACGCCCAATACTCCGTTTTAGAGCTGCTCATAAAAATTGTGTTTTGCTTCTTTGATTTTCAAAAAATGATAGATGATCCAAGGAAATCACATATCCTGTGATTGATATTCTAAAAATGGTGCAAGTTGTCCAATCAGAATTTGCAAAACCAAATAAAAGTAAATTAGTGGTGGTGGAATAAAAAAGACTTATTGCTGATGCAGTTTTTAAATATTGTCAAACACGCATAATAGTTTTGAAATGAACAATTTTTGGGTTAGAAACATATTGATTAAGTTGTTGAACACTAAAGGGTATGTCAGGTCGAGTAGTCGTTAAATATAAAAGTCGACCAATAAGTCTTATGTATTGAGTTTCATCCTCATAAAGAGGAGAATTGGTAGAGTCAAGTTTAAGGGAAGGGTCATAGGGGTTTTGGAAGGCTTGGTAACAAGTTGTCCATAATCTTTCAAAATCTCTAATGAGTATTTTCTTTGATTCATTAGAATATCTTTGGAAGATCGGGCAACTTCAATGCCAAGAAAATATCGAAGGTTCCCTAAATCTTTGATTTTAAAACAGTCATGAAGGAAATATTTGACAAAAGAAATTTCAGCAATGTCATTTCCAGCCAAGACTATATCGTCAATATAAATAAGCAAGACATTAAAAAAAGAAGTATGATTTTTAGTGAATAAAGAATAATAAGCAAGAGAGTGTTTATAACCTATGGAAATAGAATTAGATAATAAGCAAGAGAATGTCATTTGCTAGCTTGTTTGGGTCCATAAATAAACTTTTGTAGCTTGTAGACTTTGTTGTTAGTGGAGACAGAATTAGATAAAACAAGACCTTTAGGTAGGTCATGTATACTTCTTCGTGTAAATCTCCATTCAGAAAAGTGTTATTTATATCTAATTGTTCTAAAAACCAACCTTCAAGAGAAGCTAAAGCAATGAGACATCTTATCGTTGTTATCTTTACAACTGGAGAAAAAGTGTCGAAATAATCTATACATTGAGCCTAAGTGTAGCCTTTTGCGACGAGGCGCACTTTGTAGCGTTCTATAGAACCATCTGCATTTAATTTAATTTTGTAAACCCATTTGCAATCTATTGGCTTTTTGTTAGGTGGTAAATCAACATCCAAGTGTTGGTGGAACTTAAGGAAACTAATTCAACTTTAATGGTATTGATCCAATATTCGGATTGAGAAGCTTGTTTGTAGAATTTTGGTTCAGCGGTAAAGGATACATAAAGGCAAACAAAATTATAGGTAGGAGAACAATTATGTTAGGTTAGGACAAAGGAAATAGGGTAGGGAGTATCATGTGAAACTGTGTTGGTTATAAGGTGGTTTTGAAGAAGGTTGTAATGGTAGTCATTAAGGTAGCTAGGAGGGTGACTAGTCAGAGCGAAATGTCTTAAGGTGTTTTCAGCAGGAATAAGGGTTTCAGTGGGAGGATTTGTGTAAGGGGAGGGAGTATCATGATGATTTTGAGTGATGGTGGTGTGAGGGGGAGGAAGAGGTGAGGCATTAGGTAAGGGGGGTGATTAAGGGTGACAACTTCAAAATCCAGTTCATATGAGTAAGGATTAGGTTGAGGAGAGGTGTTTGTGGGATTATGATTGGGATGAAAAGGAAAGACAGTTTCAAAAAACTAGAATTCTTGGAAACTAAGCAATTATGTGAGAGAAAATCATATAAAAGGTATCCTTTTGTTCCATTTCTAAAACCTAGAAAAATTGTTTTCTTAACACGAGTGTCAAATTTAGTCCTATGGGGAGTAAGTGGGGAAGAAAAAGTTATACAACCAAATGTTTTAAGTGTAACAAGTTAGATGCCTTATTATATAAGAGTTGTAAAAGAGATTTGTTTTTCAACAATGGGGAAGGAATCATATTTATCAAGTGAACATCATGTTGAATTGAGAAATGCAAAAAAAAAAAAATTAGGAAGGTTTGCATGAAAGGAATGATCATGGGCCTTATTTTGGATGTTTTGGTGTTTCCTTTCAACCAAACAATTTTGTTAAGGACATTCAACACAAGAACGTTGCTGAAGAATACCTTTAAAAGTGAAAAAATTATGCATCAGAAATTCGTTCCTATTATCATGTCTAAGACTTTTTAAAGAAGTGCATAATTGATTATGAATGAAGGAAATAAATATGGAAATATGTTTTCTAGTTTCACTGTTATGTTTCATTAAAAAAAATCCAAGTAAAACGACTAAAATCGTTAACAAGAGTAAAAAAATAGCCATGATCATCAATGGAGGGGGTAGAGTAGACCCACAAATTTAGCATGGACAAGGTCAATTTTTTATAGATGAAATGCTATTGTTAATAGGGAAAGGCAACCGTTTTTGTTTGGAAAAGTGACATATGTCACATGGACTAATTTTATTAAAGGGGATAAAGGGAAATTAAGTAGCAATACATTTTTATATAGAATCAGAGATATGTCCTAACCTATGATGCCATAAATTGATATTGTTCTCTACAGAGGAAACATTAGTAGTAAGGAAAGGATATATATTACAAGATAGGTGTAAAGCATAGAAGACATAGAGATCACCCAGTCTTTTAGCTATACCAATTGGTTTCTGAGATAAATTCTGCAAAATTAAGCACTTGTCAACATGGAAATTAAAAAAGCAGTAATAAGAAGAGGTTAGTTTAGTTACAGAAATGAGATTAAAGGTAAATGAAGGAATGCAATACACAGATTTGAGGGTAATAGCATGTGAAAGGATGATAGTTCTAGATATTGTAGCATTGTGTCGCAATTGCGAAAAAGAGGTCGGCGGAAACAAACAGAAGAGTCGCCATCGAAAGTTATTTATCCCAAAGAGATGGAAAGGAAATGATCGAAGAAAACCTAAAAGAACGGGAGAAGACAAGGTCATCACAACCAAATCTTAGGTTCGGGAGTCGGTTACGCAAGGGGAAGGTATGAGCACCCCTCACATCCGTTGTACTCAACGGGATCCATGCTTGTTGTCTAATCTATGGGTGAAAGTTATATAAAAGCTACTGCTAAACGGGGGTGAACGGAAAGAACAGACTCGATAGGACATTGCCGCCTTATGCCTACGTATTCCCTCGTATAATGGAAAAGTCAGAGCCAACGTAGTTCGGAAAACTACGGGTGATGTGGGGGAAGGTTGCTTGCCAAGACATCGTTGTCTTGTGCCTACGTATCCTCATCTGGTATGAGAAATCAAAGCAAACGTAGTTCGGGTAACTACGGAAAAAGGTCTCGATCGCACGGGGGCGAGAGAAACTCTGATTGAGTTAACTCTGATCTGAACAACTAGGAACATCACCAGAAGCTCTGATGCAAGACGTTCCATAGTTGTTGAAGAAGATGTTGTTCAAATAAAGATCCGCTGGCATATTCCTTGTCCTTATCTAAACGGCTCTTTCCCCATTCATGCATGACACAGGATTTCAGACAAAAAAGATTTGTCAGAACATTCCTTTTCTGAGAAAGGAAAAGTCAATAGAAGACAAAAAGAACAGAATGCACAGGTTGCACAGTCTTTGAGAAATGAATTTCAAAGTACTATAAAAGCAAGTCTAAGCATCACTTCAAAGGTTGACGGAACTATTGAAAAATCACTTGGCAAACAAATCACACAAACTTTCTTCAAAAGTTGAATAGTTTATTTGTGTTCTTTAACTTGTGTAAAAATCACTGTTGTCTTAGTGGTTTACATTGTAATTAGTTTGATTTAGTGGATTAAGTCCTTGTTGAGAAAGGAAAATCACCTTGATAGGGTAGACTGGATTAGTTTGAGTTCAAACAAACCAGAATAAAAATTCTGTGTTATTTTTCTATCATCCTAATTGTTTTAAAACCCTTATTCAACCCCCTCCCTTCTAAGTGTTTTTCCTACCTTCAGTTGGCATCAGAGCTCCGGTTCTGTAAGTGCTCTCACTTAACCGTGACAGAAAAAGATCCTGTTGGGAAAAACTCTTATTCTATTGTTCTTGTTTTATCATGGCTGCTGAAGCTTCAACTTTAACTTCATACAACAACAAATACGATGATAGAGACAGAATCAGCACCAGACCTCCCATGTTTGATGGTGAGAAGTTTGATTACTGGAAAGATAGAATAGAAAGTTTCTTTCTAGGCTATGACGTTGACTTATGGGATTTGGTTACTGATGGTTATATTCATCCTACAAATGATGAAGGCAAAAAGGTTGACAGAAAGTATATGTCTGATCAGCAGAAGAAGGAGTTATGATAACGTGATCAAAGTGAGAGGTCAACATATGTATTACCTTCTCAATTATCTTCATATCATTTAGGGTTTCACCACAACCTTTCTTAAGATGGACGAGATTTTACACCTTTGACACAACTTGCAATCTTTTCATCTTTTCCCATCTACATCAATTTATATTGTCGTTGCAAAGTCTGCAATTTGACAATTTTTACTTTCTCACCTCCTTCATAGTACTTGACATGAATATCTCATGCCTCCTTCGCCAATTAAGCATGAGATATCTTGTTAAAATTTGTCGAATCTACCTCCGATTGAATGCAATAGGCGGCCCTGCAGGCTTTCTTCTCTGCCTCCTTGTTCACGACTCTCTGAGTATTAGTTTCATTCTCAACAAGCTCAGGGATGTCATTAGTGACCACTTCTAGGGTTTCATAAAAGTTGAACAAGGATTTCATTTGCTTGCTCCATCAGTTCCAATTTTTTTCGTCAAGAATTGGAAGATATTTCAGAATGCCATTAGTATCATTCATCTTTGTAGCGATTGATTAACAACCCATGGTCTTGGAAACACGATCACTAACGTGTGATTCTTGAAAACGCGATCAAGAATCTAACCGAAGCTCTAAATACTAATTTGTTAGTGCGTGAGGTACTTTTAGTGAGAAAGAAAGAGATAAAGAGAATAAGGAAATAAGGATTGTTATTATTGAATGTGATTGTACAAATTGAATTACAAAGTATGCTTGTTTATATACAACTAACTTGTATAATAAGTAACAAACCATAAACCCTAAATAACTTTAGTCGTGGGCTATAAAAACTTGATTATATCACAACAAGAATAAGATATAGACAAGGTAATAAACTATATTGGTAATAAACAAGTCAAATTATACCAGGCAAATGTCTTAGATTTCGTCGATTGTTCTCATCAATGCAATAATTCACTTTCAAATTAAGATCCACCAAATCTAGTTGATACAAGCCAAATTTTAAATAATTCTTATATTAATATCCCACAAGTCACTCCAAAAATTGGAAGACTTACCATCCCAAATGTCGTTGTAATATTGTTTGACGAAAGGTGTTTTCCTTAGTAGTGAAGTTAGGTTTTTTTCCTCTCAACATTCATATTTGAAACATAAGAAATAATACACAAGGTGCATTAGTACAAGTTTTACCTGAGAAAAGGTACAACACCGTGTGCAATAGTACCCGCTATGAGTTTAGGATTCCAAATAGCCTGCTGCAAATAAAAAAACAATCATAATTCCTCCTTTATCAAAATTTCAAGATCATCCAACGATCATAAAAAAGTTTATACAAAGACTCATTTATCACTATTTTATTCATCAAAATGGAAGTTATATAAATGAAATTTCAAAAGAATAACATCTATAGAAAAATCTTTATTGTAAGTGAAAAAGAAGCAAGCAAGAGATTTAATTTTATACCTTATTGTTAAAAGATTAAAACATTTATATGTATACTTTGAGTTGATTACATTTTCAATTAAGTTATATTTATAAACACTCTATCATTATTCATTTACTTGATTGTATTCCTCAAAGTGTTAAATGTTAGCCAAATTCTTTGATACGACAAAGAGATCCAGTTAGAATCAATTATTTAAGTTTGAGAATCTGATATATAAGATAGTTGAACTAGGAAATATCTTAGTGGTATTGTAATATGTTTGATTATAATGAAAATCTATCAGTGTGACGAGACTAGATATAGCTCTGAGTTAAGGGGTAAACTAGAATAAACTCTGTGAGTTTTATCTTTCTTTCCTTATCTTAATATTATTCAACACTTGTGATTAACTTAAGTTTAATTTGCAACACAATTCAAATCCCCTTTTGTTTTTCTCACCTTCGTAGAGATACCAGGGGGTGAATATCATTCAATGAATGCCAACCATCATGTCAATAATATTGTATTGGTTTCGTTTATATCCCCTACCACGTCGACATAAAATTGTCCATTTTCAATAACTTGAGATTTAACCTTTAATTTAGGATATTGTGCAATAAGTTTGTCAATATTTCATTCTCCTTTAGTTCAAAAATTCCCAATATAGATGGTTGTGGGTTCCTCTCACTTGTTGATTTTGTTTTTGGTCTTTAATTGTAAGGTACAATAGAGTCCAATTTTTTCTTACTAGGAAGTGGCTACCAAATTCTATGATTTTTCAATCTCTTTCTACATAACCATTTTCTACAAAATCAAATACCAAGGTTCAACATGGTCCATATTTAAATTTTCGCTTTCCTTATAAATAGTGAACAACTCAAAATGATACCCTTACATATTGAGAAATGTCATTCGTCTTTCCATGTTACTTGTACTAGCATTTGTTTTCTCTACAATTCACCTATAAGTGTTACTAGGAACATTCCTTATATTCCCCGTTTCACAACTATCCACAACCCAAAGTGTTCCACTGGTGTTAGATCATGATGTTAAAGGTATATACTAACCATTGAATGGATTGCTTTTAATTTCCTCTACAAAATAATTTTGACACAAATGCGTGCAAATTTACCAGCAGATCTTATTGACATTTTTGCATCTACCTTGAGTATAGTATCTAGATTGAGCTCATACAATGCAAAAAGAAATTTTGTATAATTGAGTATGTAATCTCAAAATATGAATCCACACTGTTACTCTATGGGAAGGATTCTCACTCTTATAGAAACATAGTTTCTAACTTTGGATAATGACGTAATGGTTTACAACTAATCTAGGGTCATCAAACATTGTATTCTTGTAATCCTCTTCACAAGAAGAATGAACTGTATAAAGGTTTTAAGAATCTACACAATATTGATTGACTCTACAACAACCTAACTAGATTGTATTTTATTCTCCAATAGTCAAAATTCCACTTTCTTGCCTAACACCTTAACCAACAAGAACCACTTACAAGACTTGGATCACCCTTCATATTCATTCCTAAAGACTAAAATAGTTAGACAAATATCATAAGGTGTATGAATATGGGGAATAATCTCCTCTTTTTATCATTTGTTTTCTGGTAAATCATTATCTCCTACAAAATCTATGCAACATATCATCCCTTATGTTTTCAAATGCAACAAAATGTATAAAGTTTAAGTGAGTATCTTTTAATAATACAAATTTCTTTCTTGGTTTCGTCAACTTTTCATCCTTCAACACACTACCATCCCCTTAATTGCAATGACGATTTGGCTTCTTCTTTTTTTTTTATACTTTGTAGAACAAGATCCTCTTATTCTATTGAAAAGCTCACCAAAAATTCTAGCAACACCATAATGATACTCAATTTTTAAAAAAAAAATTGTAGGGGGGTGTGATTCATAGAAATGATAAAACTAGTATTTTGGATAGTTTTTATGATAGGTAGGGGTGAAAATGGTTGTTTTGTCCAAACGAGCTAAGGGTTTAGGTCTGCACTCTATAATGTGTCTGTCCCGCCCCATTTTTTGCGGGCTTTTGAGGTCGCATGCATTGACGTATTTTTATGCATTTTAGGCTTAAAAGGTACCGTGCTTGTGGACCCACCCCATCCCACCGCACATTTTTGTAGACTGGACCTAGGTTTTAGCCCTGCACCCTTAACTAATCCCGCTTTGCCTTATCTATTTTTTATGGATTTTTGTTGGACGGATTAAAACGGAGTGAACATGCACGTTTTCCATTCCTAATGATAGGACATATCCATAGGGGATATGAAGTAATTTTTTCAAAAAAAATAAATTAATTAAAAACATTAGGTTAATATTCAAAGGGGATTTCTTAATGCACCCTATATACTACTAGTACACCACGTGAAATTTAGAAATTACTTTCAAATTTCGGAGATACATCTTTGAACGCACTCATGCACACAAAGCTCGTTAATTTTTGAATCACACCTCAATTTTATGTTAAAATTTATTCTGAAAATGCATTTTTGGAATGTCTTCGAAAATGTATTTCTAGAACCTGTAAAAATTGCCCTTGGTTCTTCAGAAAAGTCAATTCCTTTACTTCACTCAAGCCAAGAAGAAAACAATGACTTGTGTTTATTTAAAGTTCTTCGAAATCGTTGTTGATGGAAAAACAAGAAAATGCAAGTTTTATGGACAAATCTATTCCATCGCAACCGCCACAAGTGCACTATTTTTCTTAGCGTACCGAAGCAATTTTTTCTTACACTATAGCTGCTATTTTAATCGTGCTTGCTTGTTATGTAACCAATTTGAGTAGGCACTTTGCTTTTCAAATCAATATTTACAGGTTTCGTAAATACATTTTCAGAAACATTTCGAAAATGCATTTTCAGAATAAATTTTAACATAAAATAAAATTGAGGCGTGACTAAAAACCTAACGAACTTTGTGTACATAGGTGCTTCTGAAGATGTGTCTCAGAATTTTTAAAATTTTATGTGGTGTACTAGTAATACATAGGCTGCATTAAGAAATCACCACACTCAAATAATATTTGGGCCTAGATTGTCTTAATCTTAATGTTGGCCCAATCCAAAATAGATATTTTTACAATTAAGACAAAATGGAAGTAGGGGCAAGTGTGGAAATCATCACACCAAACTTTGTGCATAGTCATCTTCGCCATTCACATTACCATTTCCTCGAGAGACTTCTCTTCTCTCCTCCTCCTCCTCCTCCCCCTTCTTCTTCCTCCATGGCTTTCCTTCAAGAACAGTTTCAACGCCACTACCAAACCCAACAACAACCACAACCACAAACCAATTCTTTCAGGTAATTACCAATCACCCATCTCTCAATATTCCCCCAAACAATTTTCAATTCTTTCTACCTTTCACTTTACCAAACATCTTCAATCTTTCTCTGTAATTTTATCTTGTAATTCACCATTTTCTTAGTGATTTTGATTTTTTGTTTCAGAAATTTAAGAACAATGGATGGTCAGATGTCGCAGCAGATGGCGTTTTACAACCCTACTGATTTGCAAGATCAGTCTCAGCATCCACCATACATTCCTCCATGTCTGTAATTTCTTCATCTTTCTTCGATTTGTTTCATTTTCATGCTTTTTCTTTTTTGCTATACTTCAATTTAATGCCATGGAATTTTTGGGGTTTTGAAAAAAAAAGAACTTTGTGAGGATTTTGGTGGCTACCCTTTTGGTCATTTTTAGTCAAAATTATTCCTGTTGTATTGAAGGATGATTCAATTTCTTGAAAGTTTAAATCTTTGAAGTTTATTCAGTGTTATTCTTCAGCGATTTTTTAGGGTTCTTTTAGATTTAGTTCAAATCTTTAGGGTTTTTTTAGGTTTTTTTATGTGTTGTGACTTTTCTGTTTTATTGGGGGTTTAGTTCATGTTGTTGGATTTGCTCCGGGTCCTGTTCTTCCTGCTGATGGAAGTGACGGTGGTGTTGATTTGCACTGGAATTTTGGGTTGGAACCGGAGAGAAAGAGACTAAAAGAACAGGATTTTTTGGAGAACAATTCTCAGATATCTTCCGTGGATTTCCTGCAACCTCGATCGGTGTCCACGGGATTGGGATTGTCGCTTGATAATAATCGTCTAGCTTCAACCGGTGACTCGGCTTTATTGTCGCTTATTGGGGATGACATCGATCGCGAGTTGCAGCAGCAGGATTTAGAGATGGATAGATTTCTCAAACTGCAGGTTAGTTCAGGTTTTGATGTATAGTTTTTAGCATCTTATTGGTTGCTTGTTCATGGTAAACAATTTTCAGTTAAACTGATTTGTTGTCGTTGAAATACAAAGTCATTTGGATCGGTAAGTGGACCATAATAGTTACGGGCACTTGATATTACTTACAGTGTTGGATGGTAACTAGATCTGCCAATCAAGTGCCCAGAAAAAGTGTAATCTTTTGGTTGCAAGAACCGATGAGAAAAGCTTATTATTTGCAGTTCTTCCTTTCAATACATAAATACATAAGCTGCAAATAAGCTGTTTATCTAAACAGACCCTAACGAGAGAAGTAACTTATTGACACTGGCATAATGCAGAAAAGATGTGATGATGAAGTTTGATCAGATTTATGTAATATTTAGGGCCTGTTTTAGATAAACAGCTTATAACACAAGTACTTATCAAACTAAGCACTTATGAATAAGCTCGCATAAGCTCTATTTATAAGAAAAAATAGAATAAATTCAAATTGTTTTTATATATGTTATAAGTTGTTTTTATTAGCTCTCTTGAAGAATTTATGAAAATAAGTTAAAAGTTTTATGAAAAATGTCATAACTTGTTTTTATCAAATCTCTCAAACAAAGCTTATGCCAGTAATTAAGCTCAAATAAGCCCATCCATACAGTCCCTTAATCTTTTTATTTTTTTATTTCTTTGAAGTTTAAATGTCTGCTGGGATACATTTATGAAAAAAAAAAGAACAAATTTCTCACTCTAAGTGTCTTTGGTTCTGTGGTGATGAGAATTGATTTTGGGTGAACTGATATCGTAAATTTGATTCTAGTAAAAAGTGAGCCGAATGTAAAGTGATATATGTTTGGGTACATTATGTAAAAGTGAGTTGAACAATAAATTTCGGTGTAAAAATCACCCTTAAACTCAAGGTGTAAATCCTAACTTCACCTAGAATCAATTCTCGAAGCAAAATCAATTCAACTTTGAGAAAACAAACATGTCAGAATCAATTTTACGCCTTTGACTCTTCCAAAATAGAAACCAAACATGCACTTATATGAATATGCTACACTGATTAATTTTCCCTTGACAGGGTGAGCAATTGCGGCAAACAGTTTTAGAGAAAGTTCAAGCAACACAACTACAATGCGTTTCAATCATCGAAGACAAGGTAATTCAGAAGCTTCGTGAAAAAGACACTGAGGTAGAAAACATCAACAAACGAAACATGGAGCTTGAAGACCAAATGGAGCAGTTAAGTGCAGAAGCAGGGGCTTGGCAACAGCGTGCCAGATACAACGAAAACATGATCGCTGCTCTCAAGTTCAACCTTCAGCAAGCTTATCTCCAAAGTAGAGACAGTAAAGAAGGATGCGGCGACAGCGAAGTAGACGATACAGCTTCTTGCTGTAACGGCCGTTCACTTGATTTCCATCTCCTCTCCAATGAAAATTCAAACATGAAAGAAGCCATGAAATGTAAGGCTTGCAGAGTGAATGAAGTGACGATGGTTTTGTTACCGTGTAAGCATCTTTGCCTCTGTAAAGATTGTGAAAGTAAGCTAAGTTTTTGTCCTCTGTGTCAATCCTCCAAGTTCATAGGTATGGAGGTCTACATATAACTCGATATTTTAATTTCGACACGTCGAAATCTCTAATTTTATGTCGAAATTATGTGTATTGTGTTGTTGTTTATCATAGTCTTTGTTCTACGATTGTAACCAAGTACATTGACACATTGTAACTAGTTTAAGATGTATTTTACTGTAATGAAACTTGACAACTAGTATGTTGTTCACATATAACTTTAGACAAAACATATTGTTCTCAAGTACACTTTGGATGATTTATGTGTTCTCAAGTTCACATATAATTTGTGTTGGGTCAAGTCTATGTATAGGCGGGATTCTCGCAGGTGGGATTGGTTTCTTTAGATTAGTCGGTTGCAAAACTTAGAAATTTGGAGTAGAAAAAGTTTCTCCCCTTGCTCTTGTTTTTTGGAACATGTATAATCTGGTCCATTCCAACACCATTGTTTATAGTCTTGTATCTTTTACTCAATTTGTTATAGTTATTTATTGTTTGAAAGATTTTTAGTCCTTTATTTTTGTAATGCTATACAAGGTCTCTATCTTATTTTCAAAATCTTTAAATTGAATTAGGTTCATCTTTTACTCTATAACACTTCATTATTTTTTTTGAAAAATATTAAAATTTCATTGACATTATGGATCATGATATCTCACTTAAAATTGTACTAGAATTCAATATCCATTGTTATTGTTGGGTTTGTTATCGTTGTGTTTTTTTTAAAAGAATGAATGTCTCTAATTTTATTGTTGGGTTTGTTATTGAATGTCTTTTATAATAAGAAAGAAGATTTTTTAATGCATCTCATAAGTTTTTTATCCAAGTATTGTCGAATGCATCAAAAATTCAATTAACATTAAAATATTTTGGAGATACATATTCGAAATATTTTGGAGGTTAAATCGCGTCAGATTCTTCTCCTAACTTATTTTTCATTTTACTCAAACTCAATTTCAAACTCTCTTAACTTTTTTCTTTAAACCTAGTCAAAACTCAATCAACAAGGTTTAAGGGAAACTTCAATCAACATCAGAAACATTAATTTCTTGTAAATTTTTTGAGTTTTTAATAAATTTTTGAGTTTTTATGTAAATGAGTAAAAATCGTTGATTAAGGTTCGAAATGAGTAGAAATAGCATTTAAGATAGCTTAGACATAGTATATTAGACGTTTGTTGGTTGAAAAGGACGATCAAAGCATGTTTTTTGGGATTGTAAGGGGTACATTGACGCCATTGACGCAGCTTCTGAGTTGCAGAAAATTTCCCTATTCAGGCGCCTGAGGTACCTGATTCACTAGTGTCACCTCTTACTGTAGATGCTACTGATCTAGTGTCACCTCCTACTGGTGATACTGTTGATCTAGTGCCACCTCCGGAGGTTGAGGCTGCTGCCAATGTTGAGTCTGAGGCATTTGGAGAAGGCCTTGATGATTTGGCATTATTGTCTCTGTATCCAGACCATATTGCAAGACATATCTGGGACGGAGTAGCATTAGTTTGATTCATTTTTACGTTAATTTTAATTGACAAATTTTTTACATTGATTATTATTTTTTAAGGTGTGTGATCCACATAAGTTTATTAACCACGGGTGAAAGATTGCTTGCTTGCCTCAGTCAAATGAGAATTGGTTTCAGACAGTTTTGTCCTTATCTGGCCTGAAGGACTTGTGCATGATCGGTTATACTATGGTCAACCACATGATGCTTAATGCATTTGTGGAGAGATGGCACTGGGAGACCTCATCATTTCATCTCTTGCATGGTGAGATGTTTATCACACTCGACGATGTCTCGTGTTTGCTATATCTTCGATCAAGGGATATTCCTAGATCATGAGAGGATTACCAAAGACGAGAAATTTGTGATGATGGTAGACTATCTGGGGGCTGATTTAGAGGAGGAGAAGGAAGAGTTAGATAAGATCAAGGGTGCTCATGCTAGATTTGAATATATGAAGAAGATATATGAGCTCGAGATCCTGAGAGCACAACAGGATACAAGTGATGATGAGCAGGTTGCGCTCCATATCTCGTATGCTATGAGAGCATGCCTGCTATATTTGATTGACACTGTCATTTTTGTGGGCAATAGTGCCACTTATGCAGACGTCGTCTACCTATGGTACTTCGAGGACTTCGAGCAGATCCATGAAGGCAACTGAGAGGCCACTTACTTGGTCTACCTGTACTCGAAGCTAAGAAAAGGTAGTATATGGAAGACGAAGCAGGTCACAGGCAGTGTCACATGTTAGACGCCAAATTTCACTTATTTGATCTATCAAATGTTGGCATCTTTCACTCATTTTCGTCAATTAAGTGTTGAAAACCGCTCTTGCTTTGCTTGGTTTGCAATATATTGTGAAAATCTCTTGTTACGTGTTATTGTGCAGGAATTATGCACAAAACAATTGAAAAGTAAGACACTAGAAAGATGACAAAGGAATCAAGAAAGAAAGCAAACCAAAGCAAGCTCGTTAGGCGAAGCACTGGCGAGTGAGGTAGCGAAGTGTTCGCTAGGCGAGCACGTAGCGAGCTGCCAGCGAACACTTCCAGACTTGGACAGAATCAAAAAGATCAACATTCGTTGTGGCGAGGAAGGTAGCGAAGTACTCGCTAGGCGAACTACTAGCGAGCAAGTAGCGAACACTTTTAGTAGCAAATTGACCAGCATTCGCTGTGGCGAGTGAAGGAGCGAAGTACTCGCCTAACGAAGGATTGTTCGCCTAGGGAACACATGAAAAACTCTCAGAGTCGGTTTGTTAGAATAGTGGCACCTCACGGGCCAAACTTTAGTGCTCGCTAGGCAAAGGATATGCTCGCTAGGCGAGCGTAGCAGATCCTGAGTGGGGTATTTAAGTGTTTTTACTGTTTATTTTAGGTAATAATTTCCAGAACTTCCATAACTTTTAAGAATTCCATTTTGTAACATTAGATACATCAGAACTTATCTCTCTTCATTTCATCTAGAGAGAGAAACACAGAACCCTAAGAGGGAGGAGGTAAGATCTTCGATCTCTTGTTGGGGTTTGGATTGTAATCTTTTGATACCTTATGTATTTCATCTAATTTATGTTTGTGAACTAGTTTGGATTCTCTATTGAATGATTATCTTTGATTGCTTATTTGTGGGTCTTGACAAAACCTTTTCACATCTTTGATCTCAGATTTTCTTCTATCAATGAACAAACTTTTGACATGGTTTTGAAGTTGATATTCATTGTATCTTCTATGGTGTTGTGTTGATTAAGTAGCATGGGTAGGATCAACATGATATTGTGCGGGTATGTGATAATAGTGATGAAGAATGATGTTCACAACCATTTGGCGGATTAGATGAATACATGTAAAAAAGGTTAAGCGTGTGTACGTATTCCAGTCATTGTATTTTATGCAAAACAAACGTTTATCCGATATGGGTGTCGTCTTTGCTTACCTGTTTATCTTTGATTTGAACCGTGATAGAGATATACTCTTCAGATCTGGATCTAGGATGATTGTCTGTTAGGTCCTAAATTTTAGAGATAGGTTTAGGCTTAGCATTTGCTTGAGTATCAGATCTTAATGTGTTGTGTTGTGTTTTTGTTGGAAGAGAGATCTCCAATGAGACAACATGGTTGTTCTCTCGACGCTGCTTTAGAGATAAGCTTTGTCGTGGGTGATACGTGATGATATTAGACGAATGATTGCGTTGTGTTTAATTTGATCAGAAGAACGCATATGTTATCAATTAATGAAATCCAATCCCAACAAGGCTCCGTTTATATTTCCGTTTTTACTTTTTATTTTCCGTTTTTATTTATGGTTCCCTGAACTCTATCTTCATCTTGCCATCAAGTGCCATCTTCATGGATGGAGCTCAAAAGTGATAATTGGATCCGGTGAGCTTGGGAAGAACGGTGACGGAGTCAGGGCCGTCACTGGGGTGAACAAAAAAAGGAGATGTTTGATCCATAACAAGATCAATCGGTGGCGGTCGTGGAGCCGCCATAAAATCAGAAAGAAAAATTCGGGCGAAGAATGGCGAAAGTAAGATTGAAATGGCGAGTGATATCATATTGTGATGCAGCAGAGTATGAGAAGAAACGATAGAAAGATGAAGGATGAAGAATGAAAATGGAAGAAACAGATAACTCTTCATTAATTTCATAGAGATAAAGACTTAGAATATATACAAAAGTGTTATCACTTATCAACCAATGAAAATTGAGATTCTCCAACTAGCTGCCACTAACAAACTAACTAATCTAACCAATCAAAATAAAGAGATTAACTAGACAAATTAGTTGATTAACTTGGTAGTTACAATATCTTTCAACTTTTCTTTTCTCTCCTCTTTCAACTTCACATTTTAGATTTAAATTATTTCTCTTATAATTTAATATGTTTTTATATCTTACACCCTCTTTATCCATTAATATTTTCCAATCTCTCTATTTATCATATAAATTTCATTATCTTTTTCATATTTCATTCTCATAAAAGAAATATCCATTATTTTATTAAAATTTACCATAATAAGTTATATTATTTATATTATTGTGCAAGATTAATATAAATTTGGAGAATTTGACTTTAATATATATCACTGTGGACCGATAAATATATATAAAATTTTAAAATATAAGATAAATTTATTATTAATTAATATTTTTAAAAACGTGCGACAAATTTATTGATGAATATTTATGGGAGAAAAACATTTGTATTAAGTCAAAAAAATCACATAAATAAATAAGAGAGATATCACATATTCATCTAAAACAATAAGATATTATGTATATAGATTATCTCATTTATAAATTGTTCAACCTTTGATTTTTCAAACACTATAGGACTTCCAACTCACATTTGTTTCTCAATAATCTTTCCCTCAAATATTACCACAACACATAGTGGTGATCAAAAATTTGATATCTAATCTAAATTGAATTAAACCATAAAAAATTTAAATCATTTAAATAGTTATTGAATTGAATTGTTTATTTTAACCAATTAAGTTAATCTAGTTGATATTTAGTTCCAGTTCGAAT